ATTATTATTATTATTATTAATATTATTATTATCTTGGCATGAAAAACAACAACAACCAATTTTTTTTTTGTTTCCCCCCCTTAATTTACCGGTAGTGAAGTTTACAAAATCATTTTTTTTTTTTTCGGGGTTTATTATTATTATTATTATTATTATAACTAAAGATAATTTTCTCCTTCTGTTTTTTTTTTTTTTTTTTAAACATTCGGACCCCCATTATTATTATTATTATTATTTTTTTTTTTTTTGGTATCCTAAACGATTTAGAAAAAAAAGATAAAATGGCGATAAAAACGATTTGATCGATGGTGAGTTTATACCAAACTATTATCATCATCATCATCTTTTTTTTTCTTTTGTTTTGTTTTATTTTTATTACCTTAAAGTATCTTTTTTAATAATCTAACCAATAAGAAAACGAGTTGGTTAGTTAGTTAGTTAGTTTAAGTCTTTCTACTGCCACGATAGAAATCATTAATTTAAAAAAATTTTTTTTTTTTTTAGTTTTTTTTTTACTTCTGGCAGTTAAACCAAAAATTTTTATAATTAAAAAAATTTTTTTTCCGGGGGGGGGAAGGGGGAGGGGAGTGTGGGGAGGAGGGGGTTTTGTAATAATAATAATAATAATTATTTAAATTTTTTTTTGAATGATAATAATAATAATAAAATTTTTCATTCATTATCGTTCTTAAACCTTTTTTGTACCTTTTTTTTTGTTTTATCTCGTTTTTAAAATCTTACGTCATAGGTGGTTTTAAAATAAAAAAAAAAAAAAACAAAAAAATTTAAATCGTTATAATAAAATGTCTCTCCCCCCCATCTCCCTCCCCTCCTCCTCCCTCTTTTTCTCTCTCTCCGATTGATGACATAAAAACATTCGGTTTGGATATCATCAAAATAATAAATTATTCTTTTTTTTTTTTTTTCATCAAAGGATTCCATCTTTGTGAGAGAGAGAGAGAGAGTTTTAAATTCAATCTATAAATATTATTAAATTATTTTCCTTTTTTATAAAGAGAGAGAGAGAGAGAGAAAAGTCGGTTTTTTATTTTTTTCTCTACGATTCTTTCCATTAATAATAATAATAAATTTTTTTTGTTTTGTTTCATTTATTTATTTTTTATACGAGGGAAAAATAAATAAATAAAAAAAAAACCGTTACGAACAACAACAAACGAACGTGGCACGATGTTAAAAAAAAAAAAAAGGTCAAATATTTAAAATAAAACGATCGAACGACGACAACGACGGGAACCGCCATGTTTAAAATTAAAATAAAAAAAAAAAATTCTGGAAGTTTGAATTTGGATTGGGTTAGTTGGGATCAGTCTGGAGAAAATTTTTTTGGCGATTTTACTATCCCTGGAATTTTCAACCTTTGATAAAAAAAAAAAAAAAAAAACAAAAAATTAATTTTTAACCGGACGAAATTTTATATTCGACTTATTATCATTATTATTTTGTATTTTTCCAGTTTTCCAGTTTGAAAAAGAAATTTTTTGGTGATGATAACAAATGATTAAGAAGAAGGAAGAGAAGGAGGAGGAGGAGGAAGAGAAGATAGGATGAGAAATTATTTAATTAAATTATTATTATTATTAGAATTTTTAATTATTTCGGGTTGGTTATTATTATTATTATTATTATTATTATTATTATTATCGAACCGGAGAGAAAATTAGAAAAATAATTGTGGGAAATGGATGATAACCCGGAGGGGGAGAAGGTTTGGGAAATTTTTTTTGTTTTCGATAATCAAATTAAAATATTTTTCGTAACAAAAAAGTTTCAAAGGGGGAGGGGCAGGTGGGTAAGTGGGATGGGGGGTAGGTAGGTAGGTAGGTAAGGTAACATAAAATGCGGCCATTTTGTTTTTAATAAAAAAAACCGTAAAAAAAAACGATTCCAGCGTTCCATCCATTTTTAAAATATTTCCGTCGTGTTTTGGGTTTTTTTTTTTTTTCATGGAACTTTGTTACAAAGCTGGAACCTTTTTTTTTTCTTTTTTCTCTCCTCTTGCTGGAATTTTTTAATCCCTTTTGGGCACATTTCAAAATTTTAATTATTACTTTTAAAAATAAAATAAAATAAAATTATAATTTTATATAATTAAAAAATATTTTTGTATAGTTTTTCTTCTCCAAAACGAAAAACAAAAACAAAAAAACAATTTCACGATGTTTTTTGATTATTATTATTATCACCATCACCATCATCATCATCATCATCATTATTATTATTATTATTATTATTATTATTGTTTTCCGTTAAAAAACGAAACGATTTTTTAATATCAATACGTGTTTAAAATTTTTTTTTTGTCGTCGGTTTTAAACAATTTTTTTTTTTAAACTCTGATTTATTTTAACGTGTAATCAATGACAAATGACACGTCACCGTTTGCACGACAACAACAACAACAAACAAAACCGGAAAAAAATTACATTACGTTAAATACAACAACAATCGCACAATTAATTTTTTGGTAATAAATTTTTTTAATATTATTAACATCTTTATCATTACTGTCAGTCATTATTATTATTATTATTATTATTATCATTCATAATTTTAATGTTTGTTTGTTTGTTTGTTTGGAGGGATTTTTCAACATATATTCCAGGTTTCTACCCGACCGACGATCCCTAAGGAATAAATTCTTGAATATCAGTGATGATGATGCTGCTGCATGCCTCGTTTTCTCTTGTTATGACATCACAAAAATTCTTGTAAGTTAATCATCATCATCATCATCATCATCATCATCAACATTGGTTAGTGACACGTGGAAAATTTAAAGTTTATATAAATGGTAAAAAAAAATCGTCGCACGTGATAAATAAATAAATTTTTCCAAAGATGGCGGTGAGTATTTTTTTTTATTTTTCTCAACAAACCGAATCACAATTATTATTATTAATATTATTATTATTATTATTATTATTATTATTATTATTATTAGATTTATTACCTTGTAGATATGTTTTTAAAGAGAGTAATAATAAACCGAAATATTTTTAAAATGAGTTCTTGTTAATAAAAGTAACGCAATAATTTAAGTTTTGTAATTAAGGGGTAAAGTAAAAAAAAATTTTTTATCATCATTATTATTTAGTAAAAGGTAATTAAAAATTAATTTTTTTTTCGGTAATTTCTCTCTCCCCCTCCCCCCTCTCACCCTCTCTAGTTTCGGCCATTTATTTAATATCGTTTATAACAATTTACCA